ATTCCCGTTTGCTTCTAGAGTAAACTTTTGGAATTTTGAAGCGCTGATCCTGGGAGAGATGCGTTCATAGAGCCAGGCCAGCTTACTTCATGCTGACTTAAGATGCTGGGTTATCACAGACAGTTATTTAAAGTATATCAGAGAGGACGAGAGATAACCAAGATGATGAAGCGACTGTTCTCTGTGACTGGCTTACATGGAACACTGACCCCATAAGGATCACGTCGTTCTTCTCACCCCAACACCGAACATGGCATCTCACAGGGACAGACCAGGCATGAAAACTGGGGGAGATGAAGACAGTTCTACTAACATCGCTGGGGAAATGTCACACTCTTTTTTTTTTTTTTTTTTTTTCGGTACGCGGGCCCCTCCCTTCTTTGGCCTCTCCCGTTGCGGAGCACAGGCTCCGGACGCGCAGGCTCAGTGGCCATGGCTCACGGGCCCAGCCGCTCCGCGGCATGTGGGATCTTCCCGGACCGAGGCACGAACCTGTGTCCCCTGCACTGGCAGGCGGACTCTCAACCACTGCACCACCAGGGAAGCCCCACACTCTTTTTTAATTAACTTAGATCTTTGTAAAGGATGACAGCCCCTCATCACTATTATGAGATTGAAGCTGATCTTTGTGGATGAGATGGAGCATGTCTCTTATGATATTCTTTAATCCCATAGCTCCCCTCCCCCACAGACTTTAGAACAGCTCAGTTCACCCTGGAAACACAGGATAAATGTACATTTATGGGGGGTACCCAGAGGGGAGAGTCTAGAAACTCCTCTAACTTAGATTGGGTGACCATCGTTTGCCCTTCCTTCCCTTGTTTCATTTCAAAGACTCTTGACAGAACAAACAAATTATATCTGAAATAACGGTTGCTTAGGGCCTAAACATGCTCAGGGCATCAGGGTGCCAACACTCAAACCTCGCTGACGCTCTGCTGGCTGACGGGAGCCTATGATGGGGGCAGCTGGGCTCAGGTCTCATGTCGTAGGGGCAGCTGCAAGCCCGGCCCTCCGCTTTTGCTGCAGAACCTCTCATCTTCCCAAAACGTCGTTTCCTTTATGCCATCTCATCGTCAAGCATTCCCCAAGGCATACGGACGGAGCCCTGCTACTCCCTGAAACGCTCTCAGTCATGTCTGTGCAGGAGCCAGTGCCCTCCCCTGCCCCCCTTGAGTCAGGTGACCCAGCCTTCAAAATGCACTGGCACTCAACCCACTTCGGGAAGTGCCCATCATTCCACTGCACAGTTCGCTCCTTCCTTGGCTGTTCTGGAGTCCGGCTTCTGCCCACCAACTCAGCGCTGGACCTCGTCAGGCCTTTGACTGTCATGTGTGAATATCCTGCCTGGGCTGATGTAGCCTGCCTCGTCAACCAGGTGGAAAGCTCTTTCCCAGGAAGGACCTGATGTGATGCGACATACATATCACAAACCTCCAAGAAATATTCCAGGAATAAATAAATACCGAGTATCTGAGTTTGGCTCCCTAACTCTGAAGAATGTGGGAGCTGGTGGCCAAGAGAGCATCACCTCACTCATCAGAAGAGGCAAATTCCTGCAAAGTTAGCCCAACATATTTGTATGAATGCTATCCTTCATATCATACATATTATGCGTTTTATATGTTACATATGTATACATGTTATAACTTCCATGACAAAGATGAAGATGATTCAAGTGGGGAAAATCTGTGTTCCCCCTAAGATTAAAAAACACAAATCAAAGACTTCAGAATGCAGTCAGTATTTTTCAACCACTTATTAAAAGGAAAATGGTAATTTTCTGAAAAAGGCTCTTATTACCCAAAATTAGTCACAGAGAACGAATGCCATAGTGCCCTAACATTTGGGGGAGCATATCCACGAGGAGAAAGGTGAGTGTGGCTGCCCCCAGCCTGCCTGAGCCCCCGCAGGCTCCAACCCATCCTGGAGCATCTTGCCCACCTGGCCCTGGGCTTTGCAGGCAGGGCTATAACCACAGACCAGGTGCTGATTTCTGGAAGCCAGTTTCCTTTCTGCAGGATGTTCATACGCCCATATAAATGAAGAAATGAGGAAACAGTGCAGAAGCCTGCTTGACGGAAGGTTTGTTTGTTTTTGTTTTTTCATTCTGACTGCAACTCCAGGAGGCCCTCATGGGTGGAGAAATGCTGTCCAGTCATAACCTGGCAGGACGCGTGGACACAGGTGTGTGGGGCTGCCGTGTGCCTGGGAGACGAGGGTGGTGGGTGTGAGGCCGGAAGGGAATCTTCCTCGTCCCACTGTCACCTGGATCCTCTTCCTCCACCTTGGGAGCCAGAGGACGACATCTGTCCCCCAGAACTGCAGCAGGAGGGGCCTCTCAGGGACCAGGGGTAACTGACACACACAGGCCCACCTCCCTCTCTCCCACCTCTCGTGGAGGCTGCTAAGGAAGAGAAAATATCTGGATAACTAATTCTAAGTAATGAGATCGTCCCATCTTTAAACTCCTAAAGCACTTAAAACCTATACCATTTAGTGCTAAATTCTGTTCTTCCTGGGATCACTTACAATCGTTTATTTGTTGAGTTTGGGTCTTCAACTCAAGTGTAACTTCCTCCAGGGCAGAGAATAACACAATTTTAGGACCATTTCTCCCAACCACCCCCTATGTCTAGTGCAATTTCAAATACGTTAAGTGCATTAATTGATTAAAATGAGCTAGGAATAGTTTCATATGACAGCCTGTCCCAATATGTAATACCTGTCACTCAGAAAAGTCCTAGAAGAGACCCAGCGTGGATATGCTTCTTTTCAAAGACAGGAGAACCCAGCTCCAGCAGAAGCTGCTACTGCAGGCTCGGGCTGAGAAGGTGTCCCAGTCTGTACCTTGGCCTTTCCGGCCAGCCCAGGAGAGGTCACCAGAACTGGGTGGAGGTCAGGGTCGATAGGCCCTGGGGCCTGAGAGAGGTAAGTCTGTGTCTCTCTCAGGTGAGGACTACTCCAGGTGCCTGCATCACACACACCCGGAGGCCCTTTCCTCGCGGGACTCTGGGGCAAGGTGTCTGGCAACGGCAAAGCAGGACCTCTGGAGTTAGGGTGGGTGTGGGGCAGTGGCAAAGGTCACACCCAGGACACCTAACGGCATCAGAGGCTGCCACAGGGGCCGCAGCAGCAGTAGCTGAGACAGACTCCTGGCGGAAGCCGGGACCTCTGCGGGGCCGTACCGGGCAGGACAGTGATCTCTGCCGCGCAGTTGGTAGGAACTGAGACCTTTTCCAAACTGGGCACCAACAAGATTGACAGCAGTCTTCTCCGAGGGGGTTGCTTCCACTTATGATGTATTTAATTGCTTGCTTGCTTGCTTATTTGGCTGCGCTGGGCCTTCGTTTCCGCACGCGGGGCCTTCGTTGCCGCACGCGGGGCCTTCGTTGCCGCGAGCGAGATCTTCATCGCAGCATGCGGGATCTTTTACGTTGCGGCGTGCATGTGGGATCTAGTTCCCTGACCAGGGATGGAACCCGGCCCGCCTGCACTGGAAGTGCGGAGTCTTGACCACTGGACCACCGGGGAAGTCCCCAACTTACTCATTTTTAAACCTGCGCCATCTCCTCTCCCCACCTCCCTCTCTCCTGGCCCCCTAACCAAGTCAGTGTGAATCGGGTTTGCTCTGGAAGCTCGAGTCCAGGGGCCTCTCTCTAGGTGTCCTCTACTCCGCCTGTCCAAAAACATAGAGCAGGGGCAGCCACTCTGTGCCTGCAAGACCCCTTCTCCCGGATTCCCAGCAAAGCGGGAATACATTTCACACCAAGTTTGTATCTCCTTACACAGACCTCCCCAGGAGTACACTGCTGCTTGAGCTGCGACGCTGGAGAACCTGTGATGTGTATCTGTAACCAGATGTCGCCGGAGTCTTCCCGTCCCTTAGGACTCAGTGACTCACTGCTGTTGCCCTGCTGCACGGGGGCGGGGGGAGTGGGGGGTTGGGGGTGGGATTTGAGTTCAAACGCTGCCCTTTCGGGAAGAAGGGAAGGGGGGTGATGGCGACTGTGGGGCAGCCTTTGCGGAGGAGGGGAGGCTCCATCCCCACGGGGCGCCTCGTCCGGAGCCCTCGGGCCTCACAGCGCCTCCATCCCCGTCTGGACCCTGCAGAGGAACGGAGCTGCCCCTCGGAGGGTCTCCAGGTTATCCCCCGGTTCGCTCTGACCCCATCACCGTCCCCTGAAGCCGATTCTCCGATCATCCGGGGCTTCTTACTGCCGGGACACCGGGAGCTGCAATCCCCACCGACGAGCAATTAGGTCTCGAAGAGAAGGGTGGGCGGGGGCTCTCCTCTGGGCGGGGCGCACGGCAGGTCGGGGCGCGGGACCGCACTGCCCACCCGGCCCAAGCTCGCCGGACGCGCAGCCCGCTGGAGGGGCGGGGAGGGGCGGGCCGCACATTTAAGGCCGCACCGCCGCCCGAGCCGGACAGGCAGGCGCTCGGCTGCCGCAGGAGCAAGGAGCGCGCCGCCGGCCTCGGCCCCCGCCCGCCCCCCGGGGCCCCCGCCCGAGCCATGAGGCCGGTGCGTGCAGCCGGGGCGCGAACGCGCGGGGCGGCAGGAGAGGGCGGGCGGGCTCCGCGCGTCTCCCTCCGCTGCGCGGAGACCCAGGGCTGCCGGCGTGAAGACGCGAAGCCAGACGCGGGGCAGGGGCCGCGGGGGTCCTGATTCGCAGGCGGCGCGGGGCTGGGGACTCCACCGGTGCGCTGTGGTCCTGAAGCCGCCCCGGCCTCTGAGGCCCAGGAGTTCAGTGGGCGCCCCCGCCGAGGAACGGCGCGCTGGCGTGTGCCTTGGGGACCAGGCACGAGGGAGACCCTGCCCTCCTGGGGGATCTTGTCTGGAGCCGGGGAAATAACTTGCCCAGCCCTGCGCGCGCCCAGCCAGCCCTCCACCCCGGAGCAGAGGAGGGAGAGGTCGCGGGGGGCGCTGTTCGCCGGGCGGGGAGGGAGCAGCTCCCGGGAGGAGGGGCCGGAGGGAGGGCGGCGCGTCTTCCCTGCAGGTCACGCCGGGGAGGCCTCAGCTCCGCTTTGGAAAACCCACCTCGGGCCAGCACCGCACCTCTGCTTCTCTTTCAGAAAACAGAAATTTACTCTGTGGAGCTCAGCGGAAGCGGAGACATTGAGAAAACGGACAAGGGGCATGACAAGAAGTACGGGGGCCTGAAAAAGAACTGCTTGGAACGCAAAACGCATCAGCCGAAAGAGGAGCTTAAGAAAGAACTCGATCTGGTCAGTTGAGCCAACCGGGTGCCCCTGAGCACTGCCCTCCCCGCTGAGAGCTCGCCCCTATAACCCACCTCCCACAGAAGAAAATTCAGTCTCAAGAATTTGAAAAACCCTGAGACTTGTTTCCTTGTTTTTTTAAAAAAACAGTGGTGTGATAATATCTGCCCAGGGGTCAGGCCTCTGAAGGCTCCCTGCATTCAGGCTGTAGGCGCGCCCAGGTGGGACTCACTCAGAGGGAGTCTCTGACTCCAGTCCCCACAGGCATGGACGGCCCAGACCGCTCTCCTAACTGGTGGCTTCGCCGAGATGATACAAGCAGCCAGCTGCCACATTTTAGCTGATTGAACTATTTGAGGCAGAACCACCCCGGAGGAAAACCAAAAGCACTACACTTGCTAGGTTTCTGGGTATATTTGCCCCACGAGAAAGAATTTCAGCTGTAAGAGAGTTGGGCTTGGCTTCAGACAACCTTAGGCTCAGCTGAGGTCCAGTTCTCCGTGGCTGATCTGTGACTGGGAGCAAACTACTTAGCTTTGCTGAAGCTCCGTTTTCTTTAGGTAAAATGGGAAATAAACAATTTTTGTGGGTCTGTCAGGAGAAAAGTGAGATAAGAATGAGAGTGTTCTTAATGGAAGTGTTTTGTGGACGTGCAACCCTGTTTCTAGCAAAGCTGGCTGCCCTGGAAAAGAGCTGCCCTGGGACTGAAATGTGACACTGCATCTCAGGAATGCCAAAGGGGAAACTTCTACGTGAGTTTGAGATTATGCTAGATTGTCCCTGCACTTCACTGCAGACCTTAAAGCTGTGATTCTTTGAGCAGCTGGTAGTAGTGTGTGCTTATGTGTGCTACAGAGCCAACTGTTAAACACTCAGGAATTCGGCAAGCTGACTGATACTGCATTAGTAGCGTGAAGTGTGACTGGGGTGAGCAATCGGTAAATGCTACAAATCGGAGCTCCTTACTTATTTTTCCTGGAGAGCGCACTCACCTGAACAGCACACGCCACGAGGCACTTGTCCGTGTATCTTCTGATGACACTTAAGACACAGCCCTGGAACTGGACTGACCTGAACTGAAATCCCAGTTTGACTGAAATTCAGTTCCCTGCTGTGAAAAGTTGGAATTAAAAATGGTACCTCCCTCTTAGAGTTGTTAAGAGGGTTACAGAGAAAGCAGGAGAAAGACTGAGATAGTCATTCTTATTTCCTACGTATCTCTAGCAGTTAGGGGTGAAGACATAACTAGTCTTACTTGAAATTGCTAATTACAACATGAATATATATCCATTGTATCATATGCCTGTAAATTACAATGAGAACCTCCCTTGAGATTGGAGCATTTTGTGAAGATGTATAATACAGAAAAAGAATTTCCATAGTATTGGCCAAAGTGTCCCCTTGCTTCCTTGCTGAGATACATCTTTCTTTCCCTCCCTTTTCACAACCTTCTCACAAGAATCCTATAATTTGTGACTGCGTACTAGGATGCCCTTGCAACCTGACCCCTCCAGCAAGTTAGAACCTTGATGAGAACTATAACATCCCTGGCTTCTGAAGACGCAGGCAGACAGTGACTCAAGCCTGAGCCACCTGGTGCTGCCCAGTGCTGTTCCAGCAGAGTTCACTCCCGCACCCTGCCCTGCTCTCATCCCCAGAGCCGGGCTAGCAGGAGACGATAGTGCAGTACAGCCCCTCAAAATCTGAGGTCCATCCATGAAACCAATGGCTCTAATCATCCTTTAACTTTTCTCTGCCCAGGACTTGGTGTACTGTGCACAGAACTGTGTCTTAATCCTTTGACTCCCCGGCAATACCACATTCAGTTGATATTGGTACAATGAACAAATGAGCAAGGCAGATCAAGCCTCTTTTGCGGGCTTCCCTGGTGGTGCAGTGGTTGAGAGTCCGCCTGCCGATGCAGGGGACACGGGTTCGTGCCCCGGTCTGGGCCATGGAGCGGCTGGGCCCGTGAGCCGTGGCCGCTGAGCCTGCGCATCCGGAGCCTGTGCTCCGGAACGGGAGAGGCCACAACAGTGAGAGGCCCGCGTACTGCAAAAAAAAAAAAAAAAAACCTCTTTTGTAACATGAAACTTTTTTGCATATGCTTGAGAAAAGAGATGGTTCTGGTACCAGTCACAGTATAAATTTTTGTTTCAGACAATCAGAGTTCTAGAATCCTGAATGCTGGGTTTTCTAGGTGGGGTGAGGAAGACTTAGCCCTGGGTTTTCTGCCACAGGAAGAGGCTTCTAGTCCTTTAGCCCAGAGATTCTCAAAGGGAGAGGAGAGGGGGACTTTGCTCCCCAGGGAAGATTCAGCAATGTCTGGAGACATTTATGGTTATCACTTCTTAAGGGAGGGCGCTGGTGGCTAGAAGCCTCCACAACAGAGTTATTGGCCCCAAATGTCAATAATGCCAAGGTTGAGAGACTCTGCTTTAGCCTAATGATTCTGTGGCAAAATTAGCAAGTGTGCCCCCCCCCGGCCGGTATTTATTTGGCAGGTTTTTAATCTGGGGGCTTCTCTGACAGTGAACTGAGTCTCAAGTACTGGAATAAGGAAAGGCATGCTTCTCTGTACCAGACCGCCTGCCCAGTGAGGGCTGCATTGGTAACAGTCAGGACATGAAATGGTTTGGCACTACTCACAGCCCTCCACGGATCCCACAGTTCAGGTCTGAGTTAAGTGTCCAGATCACTGGTGCCTGGACAACAGGTGTGCTAGGATTTGCATGTGCTGGAGACCAGACTGAGGTGAAATGCATTGCTTTGCTCAGAAAAACTAAGGACAGCTGCTTTGTGGTAAATGGCAAGTTAAGTCTGAACTGTTCAGGGGTGGCCAGAAAATCCCCTGGCCAGTGACCTGTCCTGCAGCGAGGTTCTCTTCTCTCGCTGCAGTAGCCCCTGGGACAAAGGTTCCTTCTTTTCATCCCACACTCCCTGGCCCCTCTGCCTTCCTCAGCGCTACTCCCAGCTTTCATGCACTTGTCAAGGCTTAGGGTTTGAGTCTTGGAATTATCTAATTCACTCTGTTTTTCTTTTCATGGGCTTCAGGATGATCACAAACTCAGCAATGAGGAATTGGAAACAAAATACGGTACAAACATCATTACGGTAAGTCGTCAGAGAACCAGTGATGGGGAGAGAATCCCAGGACTATGCTCAGGGTTTGTGGAAAAGAATGAGTGACCTAAAGCTGCGACTCTGAGAATGCCAGCCACCCATATGCCCACCATGCGAGACAGGGCTGGTTCCCGTCAGGAACCACAGCCCTGGCCAAGCCCTCTGTTGAGCTGTGTGCTTGGTCACAGGCAGTTCTTTGACTGTGACCGCAGCGAAGCTGTGGTGACCCCAGGAAGGTTTGGATGCTTCCTCGTGGTCATGATCAGGGGTTGCTTTTAAACCCTGTGCCCAGGACGTATTAGGGTCTTATCAAGGCCTCCTCTGGAAAGGGACAAGGCTGCAGGGCACACCATGTGCCTCATAAAATCTCCCACCGCAGAAGTAGGGCTTCCTTCTGTGAATTCAAATCTCAAATCTCAAAAGTTTTGGTGTCTTAACATCAGAAGATTTGGGTGCACCTGTTCAAGTCAACAAGAATACCTGCAGTGTGAGTACCAGGCGATGCCCGGGTTTCAGGAGTTCGCAGTGGGCGGGGGAGGCAGACGTGTAGAAAAGCGCTCAGCAGCCACGCTGCTCCCCGAGACGGCATGTGAGAGGCCGAAGGGCATGCTGAGGGAATGGCGGAGTCTGACAGGCGAGGCTCCCTGGGTGGCGCAGTGATTGAGTTGGGACATAGTAACCGCTACCCACCCTCTGCAGAAATGTGACATCCAACCCAACGGGGGAGAAACGTCTGATTTCTGTTTCTTTTGGCTCTGCTTTCTCAGGGTCTCTCCAGCACCCGGGCTGCTGAGCTCCTGGCTCGGGATGGGCCCAACACCCTCACCCCCCCCAAGGAAACCCCGAAGATTATCAAGTTCCTCAAGCAGATGGTGGGGGGGTTCTCCATCCTCCTGTGGATAGGAGCCGTCCTGTGCTGGATCGCATATGGGATTCAGTACTCCAACGATAAGTCCTCCTCCCTGGACAGCGTGAGGCCCTGGGGCTCCTCCTGGGTTTGGTGGTAACGGGGCGGGGGGTGGTGAGGGGTCAGCACCGTAACGCAAGGGCAGAGCACTGGGCTGGGGTCAGGGGTCCACCACTGATCAGTCACCACGTGAGTTTGAGAAAATCAGTCATTTTCCAAAGTGTAAAACAGAAATTATATCTGACATTCTGGTGTCTCAGAGGCAGTATGAGCGTGAATTTTTAAGAGAGAGAGAGAAACACAAAAGTTCCTACGTGGAGAAAAAGGATCCATATCCACGTGAAGTGTTTTGGGGCTTTCTCTCCTCAAAGCTAATTCTCTCCCTTTGCCGTGGAGAGCTTCTGTGCCTGCTGATAACAGAGGACTGAAACACAAAACTGTATTGGCCGGCACGATGCTGAGAGAAGGAAGCCAGATGAGAAAGGCCGCATACTGCACGATTCCATTGATGTGAAATGTTCAGAGCAGACCCGCCCTGGATTCAGAAAGCAGACCCATCAGGGGCTGCCAGGGCTGGGCTGGAGTGGGGAGTGATGGCCAGTGGGCTCAAGGGGACTTACTGGGATGACGGATTGTGGTGACTGTCGCACAACTGTGTACCTTATTAACGATCACTTAGTTATGTACTTCAAGGGCGTAAATTGTGTGGCCTGCAATTTACACCAGGACACTACTGCCATGTCTCTCACTGGCCATGGAGCACCCTGGCCCTAGGCTCTGGCTCATTCCTGACACTTGTTTTTCTGATCGATGCCTGTCCCCCTCTCCCAGGTGTACCTGGGCTCCGTGCTTGCCCTGGTGGTTATTTTAACCGGGGTGTTTGCCTATTACCAAGAGGCGAAAAGCACCAACATCATGGCCAGCTTCCGCCAGATGATTCCACAGGTGGGTGCGGCACCCACTGTGGTGTCTGCGAGACTTGAGATGAGCGAGCATCAGGCTGGGGGAGTGGAAGAGCTTGGAGGCCTGGGCCCCCTCCCTGCTGCCTGCAAAGTGACCTAATCTCTGTGGAGCCCCTGTTTCCTCCCAGGGTTTTGAGATGATCAGCGAGATAAAATGGAGAAAAGCGCTTAGTCGAGAGCAAAGTGGGACAGGAGCATGAGTCGTTGCACAGCATCTCCTGTGGTTTCTCCTCAGCGCTGGTGAACTGTTTAGACAAAAGCAGTCCAGGGGGTTCTGAGCGGGAACCAAGGAGGCCGACCTGGGATTCTTTAAGTATCACCCTCTTTGCTCCCACTTCTCAGCCTCCCCGCATGTGCTCTCAGTATGGGAGGCCCCCCCATCCCTCCGCCCCCAGGAACCCAGGAGGGGTCCTCCAGGGACACCGTGCACTGCTGTCAGCGCGGCAGGAAAACCGCACCCTCGCTGGTCTGCAGAGCTGCTGGACAGAGGGGACTCTGGGTGGGATCTTCTGTGCTAGGAAGTGGAGACCCTTCTCTCGCGCCATTAAAGTTTTCCCGACCTGAGCAAGATTGTTAAACCCTTTGGCTCAACCTTCAGGAGTCTTCCTGGACCTCCCAGCAGGATCGTTCATCCTTAATGGTCTCCCTTCCCGCCAGGCTCAGGGCTGTCGCTTTGCTGTACCCTCCCATGGCAGAATTTTCTGGGTCAAAGAATATCTCCATGAGCTCCTTCTCAAGAAACAGTAGTTCTTAGGGTCTTCAGGCCCCAAGTAAAAGTCTTTGTTTCATTTTCTGCTATTCTGACAGCTGTGGGTCCTAGTGCCTCCCTTCCCGAGGTCTGGGGAGGGTGCAGGACTGCCATCATCATTCCAGGAGGGAATCTGAGGCCTGGGTCATGATTTTTCTTCACAGCAAGCTCTTGTCGTTCGAGATTCAGAGAAGAAGACAGTTCCTGCAGACCAGCTGGTGGTGGGGGATATAGTGGAGATTAAAGGAGGAGACCAGATCCCCGCGGACATCAGGTTGCTGTCTGCTCAGGGGTGTAAGGTGAGCGTCACAGGCACCCCAGGGATCGTGCTCATGACCAGCTGGCTTGCTATGGTCTTTCCAGGTCTCGGCGTAACTGGGGAAGGGACAAGGTGCCTGACCCTGAACTTGTTTCAAAACTTCTAGGTAGACAACTCATCTCTCACTGGGGAGTCTGAGCCCCAGCCCCGCTCCTCTGAGTTTACCCATGACAACCCCCTGGAGACAAAGAATATCAGCTTCTTCTCCACAACCTGTCTGGAAGGTAAGTCCAGCTGCTTGCAGGACCGCATGTTCCGCTCGTAGCGCTTCTCCGTCTTCAGGCTTTGTTTTCCTCTCTTTACCATCACTTGCTGCAAAGCTTCTCCAAGAGAAAACGTGGAATTGAAGAACCTAGAGAGCTGGTGTTTGGCCTTAGTAATGTCATGTGCTGACTGGCCACGTAAGCCACCAAAGAGAGGTCCGTGAGGCTGTGGTCCCTCCTAGCTGAGGACCCCTAGAATAAAATGTCTGCTCCACCTGCAGGCACAGCGACTGGCGTGGTCATCAACACGGGTGACCGCACCGTCATTGGGCAGATCGCCTCGCTGGCTTCAGGAGTCCAGAACTCGAAGACGCCCATTGGCATCGAGATCGAGCACTTTGTTCACATTGTGGCAGGAGTGGCAGTCTCCATCGGCGTCCTTTTCTTCATCATCGCAGTGTCCATGAAGTATCATGTCCTGGACTCCATCATCTTCCTCATTGGCATCATTGTGGCCAACGTGCCTGAGGGTCTCCTGGCCACTGTCACCGTGAGTCTGCACTGCTAGTGGTCGTACGCTGACCCTGCTAACATGCCATTCTGCTGTGCTGGGTGAGCGCCCACCACAGCTGAGTCTGCTCCGTCAGGGGCAACCGTGGTACATTCTGAACAGACTGTTTCTTAGAGGGACAAAAAGAATTGTGATTTGTTAATATTTGAATGCAATGTCCTTGAAAACTTATATTTTCATTTTCAGGAGATCTGTCTGCAAATCCCTTAAGATCTAGATAAGACAGTCTTGAACCACCATTTACGGATTTTCTAGAAGCCGGATACCTCCCCCCACATTTCCACTGTTCTTAAAAGGAAAACAAACCAACAAACTCCTTTGGCAGTTTCTACAGCTGAGGGACTTGAGCACACTTTTTACCTCGCTTCTCTTCCCTCTCAGACTCCCACGGACACACACAAATGCCTTCTGTGTGTTCCTGCAGAGCAGTTCAGCCCCTTCCTGTGCTTACGTCCAGGTTCAGCTTTGGTTCTCCCTGCTTAGCTCACCCTTGAACAAGGCCCTTCTCTGCGGTGCGGGCCCCACAGGCAGGGAAGAGGGCTTCGTATCTTCAGTCCTGTGTGAAGGTGGCCTGGCGCCATCCTGAGCAAAGACAGAAGTTTTTGATTCCAGGTCTCCTCTGACTCCAGCAGAGAGTAATTTGACAGAATTGGAGGCAAACAGAACCCTTTGACATCTGCAGGGTTCAGAGAGAGCGAAGAATGTTTAAATATGGAGCTCTTAAAGTGAAACAAATGCTTCTTGATTCCCCAAAGCAGCAAGGTAGCCCTTTGGGACAAGCCCTTTGGCAAGTAGCGGCGGAAGTCCGTCTTAGCGTTCTTGCTTGTGAATGACAGCCAAGGCCCCCTTTGTAATTACACATGACTTGCCTGGCTCTGCGACCTGTGGGTGCCTTAGGATCATTTTCCTGAAGGAGCAAAGGGACAAAAGAGTGTTCCACATTTAATAGAAGAAAGGACTGTGGCATGTCCATGTATAGGGCTTTACATGCTTTCTCAGTCACTGGGGCTGATGCAGCTTTACTGCATCTATAACCATACCTGACACTAGTCCAGCTCTACCTGTTTCTACATTATTGAACCCGAGTTCAAAAGGGTGGCTCTTCTCCAAGCTTCTCCCTCTCTCCTCCGTCTAGGTGGCTCTGTCACTGACAGCAAAACGAATGGCCAAGAAGAACTGCCTGGTGAAAGGCCTAGAGGCAGTGGAGACCCTTGGTTCCACCTCCATCATCTGCTCAGACAAGACGGGGACCCTCACCCAGAACAGGATGACCGTGGCCCATCTGTGGTTCGACAGCCAGGTCTTCGTGGCAGACACTAGTGAAGACCATTCGAGTGAGTCTTCGGGCGCATCCAGCCTGGCCCTGCACTGCAGACTCAGCGGAGGGTCTGGTCTGCAGCCTTGGGGTGAATAGTGCTGTTCGTGGGTGCGAGCCCAGCACCCTTGGCATCCCCTGTTCTTCTTTCCAGATCAAGTCTTTGATCAAAGCTCTGCAACCTGGGCCTCCCTGTCAAAGATCATAACGCTGTGTAACCGTGCTGAGTTCAGACCAGGACAGGAGAGCGTCCCCATCATGAAGGTGAAGGCCCTGCACACGGTCTCAGTTACAGGCAGAGCCACGTCACTTTCTTGTTCTGATTTGGTGCTTGACTTAATCTCTCCAGCTGAGTAGGTTTATGCTGTAAGAGCAAGTCTAATCACAAGACCTGTAGAAAACTTTTTTCGCTGTAACTAGCTTCGAGAAATCTAAAAGTTCTCAGAATATTCACTTGGGCCTTTTGAAAATTCTGTCTCTTTCCAGAAAATGAATGTGCCTTTAAGTTACTTTCCTAACTTCTTTATCAGCTAAGAAGATATAATCAAAGGTTACTTATTACATAAATGCCATTCACTGATGTTTAACATGTAATCGGCTAGAAATAGAAGGAGGGGTCTTAGAGCCTATTCCTCTGGGCTGCCTGGAGCTCTTGTATAATTGCAATATACGAAACTTCTCTCTCTCCTCTCCTCCTTTCCTCCCTCTCCCTCTCAGGAGTCACTGAATCTGTGTTCTGGCTTTTCTGTTTGCCATCTCTTTCCTTCATTGACTCTTACTTATATTTTTTGTTTGCTTTTCTTTATCAGCCAGCTCATTAATTCTCCTTTTGGCCAATCACTTCTCTGTATCTTTCAAGTCCTTATCTCCAGTTCTAATTTCTCACCCAAATTCCATGCATCTCCAGCTCGCTGTGTGTGTTTCCACTTGGAGGTTTTGCAGCCTAGACACTCAACATACTATACTTGTCACCTTCCACCTGTACCCAAACTTGCTCCAAGTTAATATCTTATCCCAAATTTTCTATTTTTCTATGCTGTAACCATTTTACTTCTCATCCTTTTGGAAGTCATCTTTAACTTACTCCTTCCCAAAAATCTAGTGAGTCAACAAGGCCTATTACTCTTGTTTCAGAGCATCCAACTTTACATTTCTGTTATCACTAATACCTTGCATCGGAACAATTGTACCAACCTCTTAACTGGCCTCCATGATTCTGGTTTATCCCTCCCCTGTCTTTCTTGCATGCCACTGATTTTCCTTAAATACTTCATTAGTTTCATGGACTACTTCATCTAACTTTGCTCAAAAACTTTCCATGCTTCTCTATTTTCTGCTTCTCGAGTGTAGGCCTCAGTGCTTGCCTTTTGGGGTTCTTTACATCTGCCACATTCTCCGTGTCCACCTGTGCTTCAGCACTCACAATAGAGTTTCCCCACCACATGCCTTCCTTCACGGCTTTCTGGTTTCTAGAAGGCTTTCTTCTGCTCCTCTCTCTTTAGGTAACCCACCTGTCTTTCTTTCTCTTTTTTTTTTTTTTTTTTTTTTTTTGCGGCTTGCAGGACCTTAGTTCCCCGACCAGGGATTGAACCCGGGCCCTGGCAGTGAAAGCACGGAGTCCTAACCACTGGACCGCCAGGGAACTCCCCCCACCTGTCTTTCAAGATCTAGTTCATAACTGCTTTTTTCATGAAAACTTCCTGCTCTCAGAGCTCTCACTTTTCTGAACTCCCCTAATGCCAGCAGGTGGCGCCCTGCAGTTAACAGTCCTAAGTCAGTCACCAGTTGTGCGGTAATTGTTTTCTCTCTCCAGGAGATAGTAAGCTTAGGTTACGTGTTGGTTCGTTGCAATTGATCAGAGAAGAACCAGATTATGTGCTGCAACTATTTATCTCTTGATTCGCAGAAAGCTGTGGTTGGAGATGCCTCAGAAACTGCTCTTTTGAAATTCTCAGAGGTCATTCTGGGTAACGTGATGGAAATTAGAAAAAGAAACCGCAAAGTAGCTGAAATACCTTTTAACTCGACCAACAAATTTCAGGTGAGTTTTTCGTCACAACTAAATCTTTATCATCACTAGAACAGCATTTCCACCTGTGTAAGTATCCTTTGGTTAATATGTATTGTGAATGACACTTTACTTCAAAAATAGTCCTCAGAGATGCAGGGCCTGGACGTCCGGTAAACCCATAACAGGTTTCCCTGAAGTAAGTATAGAAAAAGAACGGTGAAGGTCCTGCCGTTCCCACGCGTGATCTATCTGTGTGACGTACACACTCACATGCACACAGACGCAACAGCACCCGCACTGGGTAACTTTGGCCAAGGAGGGGCAGCGGCCACATCCCAAAGGACGAGAGAAGGGTGGGGCATGGGGAGAAGCAGTGCTGCCCCTCGTCTGTGTCAGGCACTTTACGTGCTTTGTCTCATTTAATCCTCATTATAAGCCTGTGAGGTAGGACCAAGTAACCCAACTGAAGGGTGAGGAAACAGGCCTTAGAAAGCGCTGAGGTGACAGAGTCACACAAGCATCTAAGTGGCACAAGCAGTTTTCACACCTCTGACTCCTGAGTCTATGCTTTTTCTACCACAGCACAGAGTCTGGGCAGTTCAGTTCAGGCCATGTTGGTAAGCCTTGCCCTTTGTGAAGACCAGTGAGCGCCAGCCACACTGCTTTCCCGTTCTGCCCCACAGGCAGTACATAGGGATCTCCTCTCCCCCGTGGCTCAGGAAGAGAATGGCGATCCTTGCCTAGTTGTCACCCCTCATGCCAGGGGTGCCCAGCAGTCATGTTAGGACAAAGGACAGTTTCTAGCCCAAGGTGCTGGCACAGGTGGGATTCCCTGTAGACTCCAAAGCTGAGAGTGGGGCATCGTGACTTGGTCTTTGCATAACAGTAAATTATGTAAATAGGATAACCATGTTTGTGTACAAGTTTCTGGTGATAACCCACACATTTTCTTTTATTTTTTAAAATTAATTTATTTATTTTTGGCTGCGTTGGGTCTTCGTTGCTGTGCACAGGCTTTCTCTAGTTGCGGCGAGCAGGGGCTACTCTTCATTGTGGTGTGTGGGCTTCTCATTGCAGTGGCTTCTCTTGTTGTGGAGCTCAGGCTCTAGGCACGCGGGCTTCAGTAGTTGTGGCTCACGGGCTCAGTAGTTGTGGCTCACGGGCTCTGGAGCGCAGGCTCAGTAGTTGTGGTGCACGGGCTTAGTTGCTCTGCAGCGTGTGGGGTCTTCCCGGACCAGGGCTTGAACCCGTGTCCCCTGCATTGGCAGGTGGATTGTTAACCACTGCACCACCAGGAAGTCCCACCCACCCACACATTTTCTTTGGAAGGAATTTAGGACTGGAAAATAACTGTGGAGCAAACATCTTTGTGGATGATTGAACAGTAAAAAATCATGGTTAGCAAAACAGACAACTAACAAAATGTATGATGTAAAATGTAGAGGAAATCAGATTTCTGTTCAAAAATATAGTGAAAATAGAATGAGTAGCAATTCTAAAATAATCATTGTAACAATAGCTATATGTGCTAATTTCCACACTTCTCACAACAATTCTGTTAGGCAGTAGAGAAGGAGGAAACAGGACATAGCCAGCAAGGGACAGAGCCAGGACTCAGGCAGACCCAGGGGACCATGCTCTTAGGACTAGGCAGGATGGCCTTCCAACCATGAACGAGACTCAGAGTCCCCCCGGGGCTCTGTCTCCTCCAGGGAAGGCTTCCTCATCGTGTGAGATGTGAGGAAAAGCGGGTTCTGTGAGGCCTCGTGTACAGAATGTTGAGGGAGAAGTGGGCTCCCCAGAGTTGGTCTAGAAAGGAGAGGGTCCTTCAGAAGAGGCCAAAGAGCCTCTGGGATGCTATTAGTGCCATTTTATATCCACACACGAGCAACACTCAGCACTAAGCAAGGTGGTTGGGTGTCATGACCTTGGAGGGTCTCTGGGGCATCGTTCAACCCAAGGAAACAAAGTGGACAGTCTTAGAATAGCAGTTCCCCAAACTGAGACTGGTCCATTAAAATATTTTCCATAGTTTATGGCAAATTGAAAAATTAGGACAATATTTTATAAAATTTTATATAGAGATGAAAGTATTGAATTTAGAAGATTATCCTTTATGTCCTGCATGGTTAGGGCAGGGACTCTGGGGCCTGCTGGCCAGAATTCAGGTCCCACGTCAGCCCCCTGCTAGCAGTCACTGAACTCTCTGCACCTCAGATTCCTCCCTTGTAAAAGGCAGTAATAATGGTACCCATGGCCATAGTTTTGAGAATTAAATGAGTCCATTTAATTTCTGGGCACTCAGAACAATATACACAATAAAAGTATTTATTATTCCTACTTTAAGTGTTAAAATGCCCTAACTTTCAGAAAATGATAGTGACAGACGGAGGTTTTTGGTTTGGTTAGTTGGTTTTTTTAATGTCGCTACTTGGCAATGTGAAAAAAGCTGCAACCTTACGTTTGCCCTCCATGGTTTTCTTTTTTTTTTTTTTGTACTCATCTCTGATATCCAAAAGTCTATAAACTACTGGTTTAGAATCAACTGGTAGACCCAAAATGATAGAATTTTTCTTTGTAACTTACTCATTCTCTCCCAGACACTCCAGCTTCCTAAAATTCTTTCCAGGGCTTAGAAGGGTACCTGGTATAAAATAAGGTCTAGACTTAGACACTTTATTATTGTCTATAAATTTTTCCACAGTTTTCCCGATTATCTTATTAGGGTACATCTAGAAGTAGAATTGTGAGGTCAAAGGGTAATGACGGTAAAGTTGTGATTCTTGTTACTTAGCTGTCCCCCCAGAGGCCTGTGCGTGAGAGGCTGTCCTCACAGCCCTCGCGTCCTCTGTCACATCCAGGCAGTGACGCTGCCCACGTGCCTGACTGAGTGCAGGACGTTTCGGGTCTGCAGGGAGGGCAGTCAAGGCAGGAGGTGAGACAAGGCGGCTCCCAGCCCTCTGACCCCACGGTCGCCCCAGGAGATCGTGTTCAAGGCAGAAGCTTTCACAGGACGACAGTGCATCGGGCCTCCCTAAAGCAGCCAGTTTCTGTCTGAGAGACAGGCTGAGTATCCCCCGCGAGACACCCTGATTCAAATTCAGGGTGTCCCCCTGGGCTGGGACAGAGTCTAGCTCTCTGCATATTGCTTGGGTAGAAAGGACAGAATGCACCTGCAGAGAACACTCCTTCTTTATAAATCAAGGACCAGTAGCCAACAGAGAAAGGGGTGTTTTTAATCTTGTCGTGTTGCTCATTTAAAGATGTGTCCAGTTCAGGCCCTTAGTAGTAAAGACGGTGTCATTGCCCAATGCCACACTGAACATGCTCGACCCCTTTCCCCCGCAGCTCTCCATACACGAGACAGACGACCCCAGTGACAAGCGTTTCCTCGTGGTGATGAAAGGGGCCCCCGAGCGGGTCCTGGAGAAGTGCAGCACCATCATGGTCAACGGCCAGGAGCAGCCTCTGGACAGGAGCACGGCCAAGGCCTTCCACACGGCGTACATGGAGCTGGGCGGCCTGGGGGAGCGCGTGCTGGGTGAGCAGAGCCCTGATCCCGCCCGTGAGGCCCGCGGCTCTCTGCCGGCCTCCGGCACATGAGGAGACAGGCCTGTGATGTAGCGGAGTAGCTCTGGCGTCCACTTGAGTCATAAAGGAGAAATGGTCAACGTACAAGAGACACTGTGTGATGGATAGTGTGCGGGGCGGTCCCTTCCAGATCAGGGAAATCTGGGAAGTTACCGTGGGACGGGTTGCATTTCATTCTGGACTTTGAGTGAGGGAACTTGAAGGGAGGTAGGGAGCGCACTCACGCAGAGGGAACCTCGTGGGCCAGAGCACAGCGGTGGGAACAGATGGAGTGGCACGCGCCTTGTCGAGGCTGCAGGTGGACAAGGTACCACGGTCCTGGGACACAGGGCTAGAAGGGTCGTGTGGAGGTTGGCTTGCAGCGCCCTTCTTGGTGGGGACAGGAGCAGAGTGGGTCTCAGCAGGAGGTGCTGCCCTCACTCAGGCGAAAAGGGATTTGATCCCAGGCAACGGGAACGTGAAGGTCACATACAGAGACTGTGGAGGCAGAATTGGTAAGACTTAGCAGCTAATTAGAGGGGAAAAGTAAGTTTAAAAAAATGTTGAGGGGCCTTCCTGGTGGCGCAGTGGTTGAGAGTCTGCCTGCCGATGCAGGGGACACGGGTTCGTGCCCCGGTCTGGGAAGATCCCACATGCCGCGGAGAGGCTGGGCCCGTGAGCCATGGCCGCTGAGCCTGCACATCCGGAGCCTGTGCTCTGCAACGGGAGAGGCCACAGCAGTGAGAGGCCCGCGTACCGCAAAAAAAAAAAAGAAAAAAAAAAATGTTGAAGTTTCCCACTGAGCAGTTAGGGAAAACGTACTGCCAGTAACTGAGAGAAGGGGGCATTAGAGGTGGAAGGAACCTTAGAAGCACAGCCACCGTGGCAGAAGCCTGTCAGTGGCAACGTAAGGGGTATCACAGGACATGTTCTGCTGGGAGAATCGGGGGCCGACGAAACAGCAGCTCTGAACTACAGGGTGATGGATGGGTTCAAGGTAGCAGAAGTTCATACTGACGATAAGGCTCGTTAAACATAGTGAAAGCTCTTGCCAGTAGAGATGGAATCTGTGGAATGTGTGTTTCTAAAGGACATTTGAGTCTGTAATGCAAATAAAATACATAAATGAGTTGATAATGCTTGAAGCGCGCCCCACAGCACCAAGTAGTCTTTCAAGGCAGGATTGCTGCCCGTCTGAGTTGCTCTAGGACCCTCACGTTTGACCTTTCCCTCACACGTGATTAAAGGCTGAACATCATGCCCTTCCCCTGACGCCCCAGTTCCTTCCCTGGTTTGCGCAGGAGCACATTTTGTTTTCTCTGCCGAAAAGGGCCTTCCCACCGCCTGTCCTCCCTTCTTTCCCCGGGAAACATCCGACTCCTTGCTCAAGAGTGAGCTCACATGACCTCCTTGGTGAAGTCTTTCCTGTTCTCAGGTGGCTGAGCGTAGCCCTGCTCTGTGGTACTCACCACGCTCCGGGCTCTTCATCTCTTTGTGTCTGTCCCCCACTAAACTGCAACCTGTTGAGAAGTAAAGGCTGTCCACTTCTGGGCTTTCTGTTTCCAGAACATAACAGAGAACCTAATGGGCACAGAGTAAATTATTTTGGGATGAAACATGTCTTTCCTAAAAACAACATGTGTTATGGAACTGAAGGAATTAAACAGTTCTGGTTAAACTCTAAAGTATTGGTAAAATACAAAGGACTGAGAGTGTATGAAAACGTTCCTTCTTTCTTTCATTCTTTTTTCTTTGTTGTTGTTCCTTCTTTCTTGTGTCATTTCTTGTCCTAGTTTCATTGACTCCCAAATTTATACCCATTTCAGGTTTCTGTCATCTCTACCTGCCAGCAGACGAGTTTCCAGCAACCTATTCATTTGATGTAGACACAATGAACTTTCCTACTTCCAACTTCTGTTTTGTGGGCCTCTTATCGATGATCGACCCGCCTCGGTCCACGGTCCCTGATGCGGTCACCAAGTGCCGGAGTGCAGGGATCAAGGTGGGACTTACACATTCCTGAATTAACAAGTCCTCCATTGATGTTGGATCCCTTTCTAGGAACATTTGTCATGGGAGAGTCAGTATTTAGGTCTCTTCAACTAAATGTCATAATTCCCCTTTTTTTGGTCTCCACTTTCACTGTACTAAGATTTCAGTAACTGTCCCATAAAAGCAAAGTGATTGTGTCTGTGTGGAATAAACCACAAGAGTAACTGCAGCGAGCAGAAAGCTGTGTCCCTGTGCCATGAGGTGGTCACATCTTGCCCTAGACTGTGATAGACAGTAATAGGTTTTATTACTTAATCTCGAGGTCCAGCTTCCATACTCCATTTCCCTCCTGATATAAAAGCCAAAATATGAATTCCATTAACGTGTAAATTCCAAGGCTGTGGAGCATCATGAAGCTACCCAAGGAGACATCCTGTCAGCCCTTTCACAGATAAAGTTATGTCCAAAGGAAAGGCTGGATGTCAGAGGAGGAAATGTAAGAAGCTTAGGAGCAAGGGTAGATCTCGTGGGATCAGTGTGCCCTTCAAAGACAGCTGCTTCTTTGACCTAAAGATCAAGGACGGCTCATTAGGGCAAAGCATAGTCATCCCTAGCCGTGCTGTACGGGGCCATGGTGGAGCAGGCGATGCCGAGTTGTCCCTGCTCGGGTACCTGAGTCCCTCACCGTCTACATGCCCTTCTCATTGTTTGTGTTCTAGATCATCATGGTTACTGGCGATCATCCAATCACAGCCAAAGCTATTGCCAAGAGTGTAGGTATCATTTCCGCCAACAGTGAGACAGTGGAAGACATTGCAAAACGCCTCAACGTTGCTGTGGCGCAGGTTAACAAGCGGTGAGCTCGGAACCCACCCAGCAGAACTCAGGTTCTTAGCCACGGGGCCCTGTTGCCTTTAAAGAGCCATGCTGTGGGTGCAAACCCCCTTCCTGCCAGATATCCTCTCAGGGTTATGCGAGGCTGCTTTACTCTATAATGTATGTATCCATTCCTTCCTCAAAATTGGATTGAGCACCGGACATGTGCCAGGCATGGTACTGATACCATGAGGGCTACCTGTATGCATGTCTTGTATGAAATTTCAACCCAGTGAAGTAGATCTGAAAACTTAAGTGCCTAACTTAGCGTGAAGAAACTGAAGCAAAGACTTTACAGGAAATTACCAGCCATTGATGCAGTTGTATAATCAAGAATATTGAGAACACTTTGCATTCCATGTGCCCTCCCAGTCTGCATCTTGCGTATTTATTCCATTGGCTTCATAATGTGTAGCTGTGGAAACATACTTCTCTTTACTTTTTACTTGGTAGTAAATAGAATGGAAGCTTCGTAAGGAAAGACTGTTTTTCTTGTGTCTCCTAATTCTTTAAATCATGTTCATCCTTTAGTCCAGTCATCTGTCCATTTGTTCTGTATTCTTTCAACAAATAATTGTTGAGTGCCTAGTGTCTACCAGGCACTGTGCCAGACACTGGAGCTATAGCAGAAACAGACCAGACACTCTCCCCACATTTGGGGAGCTTTCCATTGAGCCAGAAGGGAAGAAAAATAAATTAATTGTGATGTGGTAAGCTCAGTGAAGGACACACAGGGACAAAGGAGCTGGCAGTGGGACCCTGGACTGTTGATCATTTATATGAGTCAAAGGCTCCAAAGTCTTAGTTTGAAAATTAGTGTCATTGGCTTTATTATACTTTCATGCATGTGGGGAAAAAAGGGAAAAACCAAAGAACCTCTTCTAGTTTACCCAAGCATTTATGCCTTTTAGGAACACAGAGCTGTCAGGTAGTGAATTACTACCAGGGCAACGAATTACCAGTTAAGACAACCAAACAGTTGAACGGCCTCTGGGCACAGCAGCACTATCTGAAGTCCAAGGGTCTTCCACTGCTCCTTTGTGTCAATAGCATTCATCTATGAAGACAGATTTGGAGCTTTTGTTTATCTGTTTTGATTTTTTAAATAGTAGGATTATACTTTTTCCTACAAGTTACCACACAGGAGAGAGGGGTGGATGCTTTGTGAACGTTTTCAATTGTCCACTGTATCAACTCCAGCTTCATGATCATAGAATAACACTTTTTGCAGCTCTGGGGAGAAAGGAAACACCCTTTCTTTCTTAACTTACTTTTATTTGTATATATTTTTTTAATTTTTTTATTTACTTTTTTATTTATTTATTTTTGGCTGCATTGGGTCTTCGTTACTGAGTGCAGGCTTTCTCTGGTTGCAGCGAGCAGGGGCTACTCTTTGTTGTGGTGCGTGGGCTTCTCATTGCGGTGGCTTCTCTTGTTGCAGAGCACGGGCTCTAGGGGTGCGGGCTTCAGTAGTTGTGGCTTGCGGGCTCTAGAGCACAGGCTCAGTAGTTGTGGCGCACAGGCTTAGTTGCTCCGTGGCATGTGGGATCTTCCCGGACCAGGGCTCAAACCCGTGTCCCCTGCACTGGCAGGCGGATTCTTAACCACTGTGCCACCAGGGAAGCCCCATATATATACATTTTCTTACCAGAATATAGGAAGACCTGTAGTTTGAGTCAAGTGCTAGAATTCCAATATTTAGCACCGATAGGAAAGAACAGACCTAAAAAAAAAGAAAAAAAGCGCAGAACTTTAAGAATGAAAAAAGCATGCAGTGTTTTGTACTTAAGGATGTTTAAGCTGAGATTAGAAGGCTGGAGTGTTCACCAAGGGAAGGGAAGTCGACGTAGCAGGACGTGTGAGGCCTTTGCACGTAGAGTCCGGGGGCTCAGAACTGAGAAGCCTAGTGGGCTGCTGGCAAGAGTCAGAAGGGACAGATGGCATGGGCTGCACCCAGCCCTGCAGACCGAGTAGGGATTCCGGGGTCTGCTCAAAGCACAGCGGAAGCCTCGGGAGAGTGTGCACAGGGGACAGCACAGTCAGATCTGCACGTAGTTTCTAGAACCTCACTTTTATAGTCAGCAGTTAAAAGCTTTCCTCAAAGAAGACCTCAATAAACTTTTCTCCCTGCATAGCTCATGGCATAGCAGACACTATAAATAGGAAATGACGGTAAAGAATTGTTACCCATGTGTTTAGGCATACGCCGGATTCTAGGACCCAAAACGTACAAACAGGCAGGTTTTTTTACCCTCCTTTTACTTATTGAGTAAAGCATTGCCCCGGGAAGTACCACCTCTCACACATTCCTGGAAGGAAATGGCTAATTGGCTTTTTCCTACTGTTGAGTGACGCAAGGAAATGCCTTATTTGTCAGCCTTAGTTCACTGTCTTGAAATGAGACCAAAGTATCCCCAGTACTCACACACCCGGTTATCCCACCAGAGGACTAGGTGTCAGGACTTTGGGTTCCAGGTAAAATCAAAGAGGTTCAGCCCACCTCCCGCCCAGAACAGTGTTTCAACCTTGAGCCTCAGCCAGTTCCTGCTGCCCTTCTAGGGACGCTAAGGCCGCTGTGGTGACCGGCATGGAGCTAAAGGACATGAGCCCGGCGCAACTGGACGAGCTCTTGGCCAACCACTCGGAGATCGTCTTTGCCCGGACGTCCCCCCAGCAGAAGCTGATCATTGTGGAGGGCTGTCAGAGGCAGGTGGGTGGACGCAGCACTGGGGGAACCTTCCAGGTCTGTTACCATCCCACGGGGACATGCAGCGCTGAGCGCTGGGCCCCCATCCTCACCACCCCACATCTCCACCCGTCGGGGCTGACCCTCTGCTCACCTTGGGGCCTTGCTGCAGGCTCCCCAAGGGCCTTGCGACAGGGAAGTTTGGAGCTATGGGGGATGTGAGTGGACGCAGAACAGAAAGCGCAAAGCCATAAGACAGCGTACCCACTGTCGCCTGCACACACACTGGGTTTTTTCCCTCCAGTTTTGTGGAGATATAATTGACGCACAGCACTGTATAAGTTTAAGGTGTGCAGCATAGTGATCTGACTTGCTTATGTCATGAAATGATTATCACAGTAAGTTTAATGAACAGCTGTCTCATAAAGATACAAAATTAAAGAAAAGCATATGTCATGAAATGATTATCACAGTTAAGTTTAATGAACAGCTGTCTCATATAGATACAAAATTAAAGAAAAAGAAAAAAAATTTTTTTCCTGTGATGGGGACTCAGGATGAATTCTCAACAGCTTTCCTGTAATGTTGTATGTTACATCCCCAGTACTCCTTGTAACTGGGAGTTGGTTCCTTTGACCCCCTTCCTCCAATTCCACCTCCCCTCACACCCCCACCTCTGGTAACCACAAATCTGATCTCTTTTTTTATGTGTTTGTTTGTTTGTTTGTTTTTACGTATAATTGAGCTACAACACTGTTAGTTCCTGGTATGCAACATAATGATTTGATATTTCTTTACAATTCAAAATGCTCACAACAATTAATTCAATTACCACCTGTCACCTTACAAAGATATTACATATTGACTGTGTCTCCCACGCTGTACATTTCACCCCTGCGACTCATTTATTTTGTAACTGAAAGTGTGTCTTCATCCCCCATGCTTGTTTCACTCAACACCCCCACCCTCCCCTCTGGCAACCACCTGTTCTCTGTATCTATGACTGTTTCTGTTTTGTCATGTTTGTTCATTTGTTTTGTTTTGTAGATTCCACATATAAGTAAAATCATACGCTATCTGTCTTTCTCTGACTTATGTCATGTGGAGCATAACACCCTCTAGGTCCATCCACATTGTTGCAACTGACAAGATTTCATTCCTTTTTTTTATGGCTGAGTAACAAATTTACACACCACATCCTCTTTATCCATTCACCTATTCATGGGCATTTGGGTTCCTTCCATATCTTGACAATTGTAAATAATATTGCAATGAACATTGGGATACATGTATCTTATCTAATTGGTGCTTTTGTTTTCTTCAGAAAAATACCCAGAAGTGGAATTGCTGGATCCACTGGTAGTTCTATCTTTAAATTTCTGAGGAACCTCCATACTGGTTTCCATAGTGTCTGCACCAATTTACAGTCCTATCAACAGTGCACAGGTGTTCCCTTTCTTCCATATCCTTGCCAACACTTGCTATTGGTTGTATCTTTTTTAAGTTTTTATTAAATTTATTACAATATTGCTTCTGTTTTATGTTTTGGTTTTTTGGCCACGAGACACGTGGGATCTTACTTCCCCAACCAGGGATTGAACCCGCACCCCATGCACTGGAAGGCGAAGTCTTAACCACTGGACCGCCAGGGAAGTCCCTGGTTGTCATTTTGATAATAGCCATTCTCACAGGTGTGAGATGGTACATGATTGTGGCTTTGATTTGCATTTTCCTTATGATTAGTGGTATGGAGCATCTTTTCATATGCCTGTTGGCCACCTATATATCTTCTTTGGAGAAATGTCTATTCAGGTTCTCTGTCCAGTTTTTAATTGGATTGTTTATTTTATTAATGTCAGGTTGTATGAGCTCTTTGTATAGTTTGGATATTAACCCCTTGTTGGATATATCATTTGCAAATATCTTCTCCCATTCAGCAGGTTGCCTTTTTGTTTTGCTGATAATTGCCTTTGCTGTGCAAAAGCTTTCTGGTTTGATATAGTCCCATTTGTTCACTTTTGCTCTTGTTTCCCCTGCCTGAGAAGAGAGATCCAAAAAAATATTGCTAAGACTGATGTCAAAGGTGTACTGCCTATGTATCCTTCTAGGAGTTTTACGGTTTCATATCTTATATTTACATTTAAGTCTTTAATCCATTTTGAGTCTATTTTTGTATATGGTGTGAGAAAGTGGTCCAGTTTCATTCTTCTGCATGTAGCTGTCCAGTTTTCCCAACATCATATAGTAAAGAGGCTGTCTTTCCTCCATTGTATATTCTTGCCTCATTTGTTGTAGATTAATTGCCCACATTAGTGTGGGTTTGTTTCTGGGCTCTCTGTTCTGTTCCATTGATCCATGTGTCTGTTTTTTGTGCCAGTACCACACTGTTTTGATTACTGTAGCTTTGTGGTATAGTTTGAAATCAGGACGTGTGATACCTCCAGCTTTGGTGTTTTTTCTCAAGATTGTTTTGTCTATTTGGGGTCTTTTATGGTTCCATACAAATTTTATAATTACTTATTCTACTTTTGTGAAAAATGTCATTGATATTTTGATAGAGATGGCATTGAGTCTGTAGATTGCCTTGGGTAGTATGGTCATTTTAACAATATTATTCCAATCTAGGAACACAGTATATCTTTTTATCTGTTTGTGTCATCTTCAGTATCTTTCATCAGTGTCTTATAGTTTTCCGAGTACAGGTCTGTTACCTCCTCAGTTAAATTTATTCCTAGGTATTTTATTCTTTTTGATGCAATTGTGAGTGGGATTGTTTTCTTCATTTCTCCTGAGAGTGCGTTGTTAGTGTATAGAAATGCAACAGATTTCTATTTACTAATTTTGTACTTATTAGTTCTAATAGTTTTCTGGTGGAGTCTAGGATTTTCTTTGCTTAGTCTCAGGTCATCTGCAAACAGTGACAGTTTCACTTCTTCCTTTCCAATTTGGATTCACATTGGTTTTAATTATTCGCACACATCTTGTTTGGAGCTTGTTGCTCTTGCTTCTGGGATTTGCTGTCTTAATCTTTCCCCCCAAACCCAAAGCGGGCCTTCATTTTGCCTCTGGCTGACCTCGCAGCCTCAAGACAAAGGGAGTGGGTGTCTCCTGCCCAGGCTGCTCACTCACCTCCTCTTGGTGTCCCCACAGGATGCTATTGTCGCTGTGACAGGGGACGGAGTTAACGACTCCCCGGCTCTAAAGAAGGCAGACATCGGGATCGCCATGGGGATAACGGGTTCTGATGCAGCCAAAAGTGCAGCCGACATGGTCTTGCTGGATGACAACTTCGCGTCCATCGTCACAGGGGTGGAGGAAGGTGAGTGGGGTCTCAAGGGGTCTTAGCGAGGGCTGGGGCCACCTGCAAAATCAGAAGCGAGTCCTATAAGGAGAAACGTAACGTCTTTGCCTAGGTCGCCTAATCTTTGACAACCTAAAGAAGACTATCGCATACACCCTGACCAAGAACATCGCTGAGCTCTGCCCCTTTCTGATCTACATCATCGCTGGGCTTCCCCTGCCCATTGGCACCATTACTATCTTGTTCATCGACTTGGGCACAGACATAGTAAGTAGCCCTAAAGGGAACAGCATCTGATAAATTCCCCAGGTGATGGAAACTTCAGAGTCATTACCTTCAAGAGCAAGAGATGCACTAAATCAATGCTTCTCAAACCTCGACGTGATGGGGCCTGAAGTTCTGCATTTCTGACAAGCTCTTAAGTCATGTCGAGTTTGCTGGTCCACCAACCACACTTCAGAGCAAAGGACTAGAGAGATCTGTCATATGTTTGAAAATTAAAACCACTGCGCTCCATATAAGAACTTTTCAAGACATAAGTTCTTCACCATTCCGAAAAAGCATGCCATTAGTCAGTTTCAGCTCACATGCCTCCCTTTTCTTTTGAGAAGATGCAGATGTCATCAAAGTAGTCCCTGTACTGCTGGGGGCCCAGTGGCTGAAGTGATAACCCACAGCCACTCCTTGTTGAGTAAAAGAATCTGTGACCCCGAAGCCCCTCACCAAACACAGTAAGAAGTAGCCACGATTAACACTCTGTAAAGCTGCACGCTGACCTACAGTAACGTCACCTAAACCCTCTCCCCTTCTCGGACGAATCCCTTTAAGAAAGCTTCGTGGCAGTTATTCCCGTGGCTCTGGCTTACACAGGTGACAGGCAGCAGCAGAACTCATAGCCCTGCAAGTTGCCGCCTCCTCCCTCATCTCATAGGACAGCTGCAGGGCACCCTCCACGCTGCAGGGGGCTGGGGGTATCTTTACGTTAGTGGGGAGCTGAGGCCCCAGAGCCTGCAGTCAGATCACTTTCCAGGCCGTTGAAGTTTGCTCATTTTCTCCACTCTAGTGGTTCTTCCAGGCATCACCAGGGACCTGGTTAGAAATGCAGATTCTCTGCCCTCCAGCGGGGGAGGACCTGTGAGAGGACCACTGGTCAGTGGCGGGGCGAAGTGGGAGAGGACAGAAGGAGAGAAAAGTGCTTTATAACTAGCATTGTTTAGAACTGGAAGCACAAGGCAATGATCAGAAGCCGACTGATTCTTAAATTCTCTACAGACGACACACCCTGAGGCCTGCACCCTGGAGAGACCAGTTCCCTAACCCCACTGCCACACCCCGACCCCTGGCTATGCAGCCGCTGTCCCCTTGTGTCATAGTGTTTCAGGGCCGGGCCTCACGGGGTCTCTCTCCCTCTAGATTCCCTCCATCGCCCTGGCTTATGAGAAAGCTGAAAGTGACATTATGAACAGGAAGCCTCGCCACAAGAAGAAGGACAGACTGGTGAACAAGCCACTTGCCGTGTACTCCTACCTGCATATTGGTGCGAGGAGGGGCCTCCCAGAGAATTCTTTTCGCCTTGTGGGGCAGGGTTGGGACGTGAGGAGGAACCCAGAGGAGAATGAGGTCGGGGCAATTCTGAAGTCATTACATAACCTCTTCTGTTCTTTCAGGCCTCATGCAGGCCCTGGGAGCTTTTGTTGTATATTTCACTGTGTACGCACAGGAGGGCTTTCGACCCAGCACTCTCCTTAACCTCCGGGTGGAGTGGGAAAAGGGCTACGTGAACGACTTGGAAGACAGCTATGGACAAGAATGGGTAAGGGCGGGCCCTCCAGCAGTGTCCTCCTGGGAAGACCGTGAGGGGACAAAGCAGGTGACAGCTTTCTCGGTTAACGGGGCTTGTGGGCCCCTAGGTCACAGCGGTTTGCCTCTGTCGGGGCTCAGCTCACCTCTCGAGTTCGGTGCCTAGAGCTCACCTTTTCACATTAGCTTTGCGATAGGTGTGTAAGAGTAACCAGCCAACATTGCCACAGTTGGGCCAAATCCATTAAGTTAGCATCTTTTCCTACTCAGCCGGTTAAAGGAAAGAAAGGTTTCTTTCCAACCACAAGGAGGTGATCCTCGCTCAGTCTTGGTGAGGGGGAGAGAGTAGAGGCTTACAGAAGTGTGCTGATGCCTCCCTGAAGTTTCCATCCTGGCCCTCATGGACTTCTCTTTCTCTGGCCGTTGACAGACAAGCTACCAGAGGAAATACCTAGAATGGACGGGCTACACAGCATTCTTTGTTGGCATCATGATCCAGCAAATAGCAGATCTGATCATCAGGAAAACCCGGAGGAATTCCATCTTCCAGCAGGGTCTCTTCAGGTAACGGCCGGCATCCACCCTCATGGTTCAGCCTGGGCCTTTGCTGCCGGGATGACGAGGCATTGACTGTGCTGGGTGTGTGGGGCTGAGCCTGGGAGTTCAGAATCTGTTCGCTTTTGTGTCTTACAGAAATAAAATCATCTGGGTGGGGATTGCCTCGCAGGTTATCATCGCGCTAATCCTCTCCTACGGCCTCGGGAGTATCGTGGCCCTGAACTTCACAATGCTCCGGTGAGGTTCCCTTCAACAGTGGGGAGGGAGGAGTGAGCCGCCATCTGCTGTCATGGCCTAAATAATCACTAGGGTTCCAGAGACTCTTTCCCCTCAAGTCTTTCGAAGGAGGTAAAATGAAACCGGTTTTATATCAGTCTGAGCCTTTGACCTGCTAGTTTTTTTCAGAAGACGAGGTGGGTTTTCCATCCCTCACCATCCCGTCTGTACCCTCGTCCGGCAGACCACTTCCCAGGCAGGCGTTGTTTCTAGTGGTCACGGTCCAGTGTGGTTTTACGCTGTGTGACGCAGTGGCGTCGTTCTCTCCAGTGAGGCAGGGAAGTGACCGAGAAGCTCCTCCACTTGTGGGGTGGGCCCCCCTCTGGATGCGTGGGTCTCATCTCTCTCCCTCCGCCCCCTCCCAGGCCTCAGTACTGGTTCGTGGCTGTACCACACGCTGTTCTGATCTGGGTGTATGATGAGGTGCGGAAACTGGCCATCAGACTCTACCCTGGAAGTAAGTAGTAGTATGATTTGGGGGTCTCTGTCTAGTGCAACAGACTCCCCTCAGTTTCTAGCTTACTGTTTTCTACCTCTATAGGCTGGTGGGATAAGAACATGTACTATTAAGACCACCTTACTTCCCGAGCCCCCAGCTGCACGTCAGAATGTTCTTCATCTTCCGGCCACCAGCTGGGCGATTGCAGCCATGGGGACATCGTCAGAACGCGTTTAAGAAATGACAGAACTGTAGGAAAGATGCTCACTAATGTTTTGTAATTTAAAGCAGAGATTTAACTGTTTATACATGATTTTAATTTATATATCTATCTCGTTATTTTAAAATATGTGAATTTCAAGGGAACGGTGTAGGGAAGCATGGCGTGTTTATATGTATATAAAGGTCACTCGTGTTAAATAATCTCGGGTAATCCAGACATCTGCTGGGGTCTCGCTGTCCCTTAATTCTAGACAGGACTGCTCAAACCTCCATTCCACACTCTGTTAAAAGTCCAGTGACCTCCCTAAGATTCCTGTGAATTCCCAGGGAATTTATTACTTCACAGTCACCTTGCTCAGAAAAGGCTAATTCAGCTAGAGGTTTGCAAGGGATGAAGCGATGGCACATTTACATCACAGCAACTGGGACGACCTCAGTTTGACTCTGAGGCGTGGTCCTGTGATGCCCTCCCTCCTCCTGAGCTGACCACCCTGACCACCAGCTCCAAAAGGGAGCCCCGGGGCGTTGGCATAGGCTAGCCCCAGGTTCTCCCCTGGCCCAAAAGGGTTTTCATTTAGCAGGATTCATCCTCAGTGGAGGACCACTGTGACTTAACACGTAATATTTATTTCTTGTAACACAGTCGCAAAGCACTCTGCAGCACTAATTTTATGTTTCATGCTTTAACTTAGGTTTATTCATGTGTAACATGTGTGCTCACACCCATATTGACACCCCAGAGAGACCTCGTTTTTAAGTAAAAGATGTTTTATAAAACTAGGCCTGAGGGTGGTGTTCTAATTAATTTGAGTTTGTCTAAAATGCACAGCATAGGACAGATGTGATTTCAATTTTTTTTTTTTTTTTTTTACTTCTTCTGGTCATTTTACTTTTCCATGGAAGGTCTGAACTCTTCCCTCACCAACATCACTGCTTTGTCCCCTCTCTGATGTGCACGCACTTTTAAGGCAGAATTTCTGTGGAAGGGTCTGTCCAGCAGCAGCAGCGTGCGAGAGAAAGCTGTTTTCACGGCCTTTCCGTCATCAGCTGCACGCCCAGCACAAACTGATTTGACAGGATGACATTGGTGAGCTTTTCCCATTCAGTGGCTGCTTCTCCACCTCTTCATCATTCGCGCAGGCAAGGACATTCCGCTGCTGACGGCACTAGGTTGTGTCTCTGGAGCAGGAAAAGGGAGTCTTGGAGCCATGGTTCTCTGCCGTGTTCTCAGGGCCATCATTGTAACTTCATGTGAATAGATCATAATGTACTGTGTCACTGTGTGTATTGAAGTTAACATAATGTATTTAATCTCGAAGGTTTTCATCTCTGTCTTCAGCCGCAATTATCACTGGACCAATCTGACGTTAGTAATTCAGTGAACCAGAACCCTTTCCAGGCAGCGTCATGACGGCCTTCTCATTCCAGTCCTGGCAGGGCAGTAATGCTTCCTAAACTTCAACTAAGAATAATCTGTCCTCACTCTTTTCCCTGCCAGGCTGTCCAAGTGCCCCTAGCTGTGATGGCTGGCAGCTTATGGTCCTGCCAGAGCCAGTGGGAGAAGGCTGTAAATAGAGCACAAAGCTGTAAGGGGTTTATGGTGGGTTGGATTACACTTGAAAGGAGTTAAATTTGAAGTAGAGGAACCCTGTCTGGAATAACTTTCATACTGTACGTACCTACCCTCGCAAAAAGCTGACACTCAAATGTTTGTAAAATGAATAAGTAACAAATTTAAGGAATCACAGAAATTATATCAAGTTATATCAAGTAGCTTGATTAAGTTTTAGACAGAAAAGAGGCAATAAAATCTCATATCAGAGGGTTTTTGTTTTGTGTTGTTTTAGAGAGACTGCTTCATTGACCCACTAAGGCCTAGAAACTTTTTAGAAAAAATAACAGTTAATTTAAATCTAATTGGTGTGGCAGAGTAACTCAGAGATATAGAGATGAGGCTGGATTTATAGAGCATGTTTTAAAACAATCTGTTTTATTCTGATTATAAAATTGTAACTCATCTTAGAAAATTTGGAATATCCAAGAGTAAAAAGAAAATTAAAACCACCGAGAATCTCACTACCTAGTTATATACCTAAACAAGAGTGGTTATTTCTTTAGGGTTTTTCTATGCATATATTTATTTTTAGGCAGAATTGAAATATAAAGTTTTCCATTCTGCCTTTTTATTTAACATGGAGGATATGGTTCTAATGACTACGCATTATTCCATATTGAGAGTGCTTTTACCATATCCCCACTGTAGGATGGTGCATCTATTTCCTACTGGTCATCTGTTTGTTTTTTTTTTAAGGTTGCATCTTGTCACTAAATCTTATACCACATATCTCTTTTTTTCCATAAATTTTTTTATTTTTGTTTATGATTTTTGGCTGTGTTGTGTCTTCGTTGCTGCGCACAGTCTCCTCTAGTTGTGGCAAGCGAGGGCTGCTCTTCATTTGCTGGGTCTGGGCTTCTCATCGTGGTGGCTTCTCTTGTCGCGGAGCATGGGCTCTAGAGCACACGGGCTTCAGTAGATGCGGCGCGTGGGCTCAGTAGTTGTGGCTCACAGGCTGTAGAGCGCGGGCTCAGTAGTTGTGGCGCACGGGCTTAGTTGCTCCGCCGCCATGTAGGATCTTCCCGGACCAGGGCTCGAACCCGTGTCCCCTGCATTGGCAGGCGGAGTCTTAACCACTGCGCCACCAGGGAAGCCCTATACCACATCTCTTATTATTTTATAATAGATTCCTCAAAATGGAATTAAGGGGGTTAAGAGTATTTTTAAGGCTCTTGATAAATAGTGCCAAATTTATTTTCAGATAAGCTGTAGCAATTTATATTACTACCAGCAGTAATAAAGTGAATATCTTGCCTGTCAATAGGACATGAAAGATCTGTCAACTATAAGAGATTTTTATTCATTCAGTGTCTGCCGTGCAGTCTGAGAAAACAGCAGGGACAAGACAGACTCATGGAACTGGTGCTCCAGGGGAGGGGCAGAAAAAGTATCATAAATTGCGATCAGGGTTTTAATAGGTGGAAAGAGGCTTAGACAGTTATCGGATGGGGCATTGGGTGAGCCCCCTTTAAAGGGGTGGTCAGGAAAGTCCTTTCCGAGGTGAATGAGCACAGAGGAGAATTCCAGGAGGTGTGGCAGGAACAGGGATGCAAGAGGAAGACTGGTTCACCAGGCAGCTGGAGAAGCAGGCGGGAATCTTAGAGCACAGGGTCTCCCAGGGTTTCATTGCAAACGCGACACCAGGCTGTTGAAGATTATTAACAAAGGCAGGGACTTGCTCCAGTTCACATGTTCAGGTCACTTTGGCTTCTGTGAGGAGGGTGGGAGCACATCCAGGCAAGAATGGACACGAGCAGGTGAGTTAGGAGCAAGGGAAACGATGATTAAACTGCACAGGTGGTGACAGGTGTGAGGCCCACACGTGAAGCCCTGGGCCCGTGTGTGTGTGTGTGTGTGTGTGTGTGTGTGTGTGTGATGTCTCCTAACAGGACAGTGTCAGCAGCTGGTAGTTATCAGAAACCTATTATGCCCCAGGTGCTGTGATAACCTAAAAGCACAGTCTCCTTAATGCTCACAACAACCCCATCAGTTAGTAGTGCCGACCTTGCACGACTGTCCAGCACTGTCAGTTCCCCTCCAGTGAAGCGGCTCAACTTTAGAATCTGTGCGGTCATGTCAGGAGAATCTGTGCTTGGACAGAAGACTGCACACTGCACAAAGCACACCCTTCAGGCACACTGCAGATCCGAGGTTATGGAGAACTGATAGCAGTTCAGAATAGTCCGTGTCTGTGATATGCAAACACAGGGACAGCCCTCCTTCCTCTGGAAAAGTCAGTTTCGCTGCACTTGCACAATCCTCTGGCATCTCCAGATGAACGGGTGCCTCTCTGCTTCCTTGAACCAGTTCTAGCAACTGCCTAGTTCCCACATGCAACTGAACGGAAGAAATTTAACACTTGTTCGTTTTATATCTGGATGGGAGCCACGATTTTACCTTTTCTTTGAACATTATCCTTTCACACTGAAAAGAGAGGCAGAAAACCAGTATTTACTCCTTTCAGGGGCGCTGGGCCTTGACACAGACACCTGCCCACTCAGCTGCCGTGCAGGATCAGGGCTCCCCCGGCCGGCACCCGCGCGCGGGCTCCAGGGCCGGCTCTGTCCTGCACTTTCGCTTCACTGATGCTGCTTGTTCCGCTTCAGACCAGATCTCTGGGCGGGTTCCCTCTCCTCTGTCCCCATTCCTGCGTCCCGGCCCTCCCCGCAACATACCAGAACCCAACTCAGGGGATTTCATCTTTTTGGTCCAGAGGTTCTAAGATAAAGTGTAATGGAAATTTAAGGCAAAAGCCTGATTCATTTTAAAGGGATAGAAACTCCCTTCTACGGACTTGTGAAGATAAACTGAGATACTGTGGAGAAAAGTATTTTGTAAGCCTGAAAGTACTAGAATTTATTAGTTGGTGTTTTTGCCTACATTTTATATTCGCAACATGGGATTTTTTCCTCTTGCTTTCATTTCTTGACAAATGAAGCACCTGCTGGACAGGGCACGAGGCTACAGAGTGTGAGCTGAGGATGAGCAACATGGTGCCGCCTCGGAGCAGGAACGGTGAGACGGGAAAGACATACTGTAAATAAACTGTCGTCCAGGGCACGACTGGAGGCCACAGCAGAGGCACGGAGGGTTGTGGAGTTCAGGGGCCACCCTCAGGTGCCCAGCTCAAGTTTTACGAGGTGGGATTTCAGTGGCAGAGATGAGGGAGAGCCTCACAGGCACCCGGGGAGGGAAGCGGCAGGGACCAGAGATGCACACACGGTGGGGGGGGGGGGGGGGGGGGGGCGGTTGTCACGATGTGGCCCTGGAAGCCGGCGCCCTTGGGGCAGCTTC